CAAGGGGTCCTTTTGTGCAGTCTAGATACAATTCCCTAGTTACAGGGGTGTATTTTTACAAGTATATTGTTCTTTTGTGTGGGAATGCTGATTGTATATAGCGCAGTGCAGCACTCTACAGTGCCGATTTAGAGTTAATACATTACTGAGAGTGTTACTGAGATTAGGAGCCTTTTATAGTCTGGGTGTAAAGCTGTGTGTGTATGTGTGTGTGTGTGTGTGTGTGTGTGTGTGTGTGCATCTTGAGGGATGACCAGAGAAAAGTGCAATGGCAGCAGATCTGGTGTGCAGCTCACACTGTAAAAAATTATATGATGAAAAAGCCATGACAACTTATGTTTTTAAGTTACTGTAACTCATAAATATTATTTAAGCAATTTCAACCTTTTTTTATAAGTTATACTAGATTCAACTTGATTTTTAAAGTCAGTTTAATGTTACTGAAATTCAAGGAGCCCAATTTAGTTCAGTGAACTTAATTGTTTCCCATGAGGTATGAGTGTATTTTCAGCTTTGTATGACAGTTTCTTGGCAGTTTTTTGCTACTTTTGTGCCCTTGTTGTATACATATACTGGCATTCACACATTAGCATGCACAGGCAGGTTGTGTACTGTTCTTAATATTAAAACCCTGTTTATAAGCACTGCAAGAAAAAAATAAATTTTAAATGTTTCAAACAAATGTTGTATATTTTTTTTATCTGGATCTAAAATAAAGTTTACATTATCATAACTAGAACATTAATGTTAAAAATTTTGAACTTAAGTTGAAACAGCAAATATTGTAAAGTCAAATGAACTTCAATAAAACAATTCAGCACTAGGCAAGATTTAAATTAGTGAGTTGAAATGACTTGTACTTTTAAGTTGATTTAACTTAAAATTTTAAGGCAGCCACAAAACTTACGTTTTTAAGTTGAAAGGGGTGAAATTTTTTTACAGTGCAGTGCTCACCATCAGCCCCCCGTCAAAGCTCAACCCCACCCCTAGAGAGGGATTCTCCTTCAGTTCCAATTTGAACAGTACAGGATAATGCTGAACCACACCATCTCTCTTTCACTTCTACATTCACACACAGATAAGACTTTCACAATCAATGAATTCCTGCATCTAATTTTTGCACAGTTTTTCCATCTCTCCACACACACATACACATTTTTGAATGGCCAATGCAGGCAGGCTAGAAAATTGAAGATGTGTGAGATACACATACATATTTCACACTTAAAACTGACCAAAACCCATCCAATGCATATACACACACAGATAATATGCATATATACAGTTACAATAAAAAAATCATCTTGACCTGCTGCCGTAAACAAATGTTTATGAAAAAAACTTGACATGAAATACCAAAACAAAAGTAAACTATTACAGAAAGTTTATTGGATAATGAGTTATAAGTTTATGGACAATGCTATGATTCCAACTTTGTGGGAACAGTTTGGGGAGGGTGCTTTTCTATTCCAGCATGATTGTGCCCCAGTGCACAAAGCAAGGTCCAAAAACATGGTTGGATGAGTTCAGTATGGAACAACTTGACTGGCCCACACAGAGCTCTGACCTCAACCCCATCAAACACCTATGGAATGGGCTGGAACGGAGATTGTGAGCCAAGCCTTCTTGTCCAACATCAGTGTCTGACCTCACAAATGCTCTACTGGATGAATGGCCAAAAATTCCCACAGAAACACTCCAAAATCTTGTGGAAAGCCTTCCAAGTAGAATGGAAGCTGTTATAGCTGCTATGCTATAACATATATTAACATCTATGTATTTAGAAGAGAAGAATAATATGTACAAAATATATCATTTAAATATTTTCTTCCATTATAATTAAATACTTTTATTATATAATAAAAAAAAAAAACATCTTCTCTTAAGGAGTGCGTTGTACACAGCCCCTTACTGAGATCAGTAGGTGGTCTCTGTAAGGCTGCATAAATTAAATGCAGGGCTAATCTTATTTCCTAATTGCTCTTGACAGAGGCTGCGAACATCCATCACAGTACAGACCACAGCACAAAGGACGTCACAGTAAACAGAGCAAAGCACAGCTCACGGTACAGTACAAAGAGAGGAAACAGTCCAGGCAATGAGCGATTGACAGAGTGGTGGAGCACAGAAAGGCGCAGGGTCTGAATATGGGTAGAAGAACAAGATATAAGTCAAAGAAAAAACATGCCTATCATGCCACTCTGTATCTCTTTTTTGTATCTCATACTCCCTCTCTTTTTGAAGGAAATTGATGGGTATGGGAGTGGGTTTCTTATCAGAGGCATAAGGATTCTGTTCCGCTGAAAAACTGCAATGCAGATACACAAGAGAATGAGAGAGAGACAGAGAGAGGGAGAGGCGAATTTAAACTCTGTCAGTAATCCCTTCAAATTTCAGTAACATCCCATTCAGCCCAGCACCTTTTTAGGATTCTCACATGCCCATGCACATACACATGTCTGTTTTGATATAATGTTAGGGAGTTTTCATTGTTTTTATACTGAGCTAATGATATTACTAACCCTAATCCTGCCTTTAAACCTTTATACATTTTTTTTTAATTATTATTCATTAAACACTATTTAGTGTGTTTATTACACCATTTTCATTGCAGAGACCATTGGATTTCAGGTTTTACTATTTTACTCACAATGTACACAAAGCCTAACCACACACGCAGTCACCTTCAAAACACCTTTCCTTACACCAACTCCAGTGACTCTTTCTTTTGTGACTTCCAGTGACTCTCTCTCTTTCTCCGTTTAGCTTCATAATCACTCTGAATCATCCTTCCCTCAATCTACAGTGGCACTTATGATTAAGACATGTTAACCATTGTCTTAAACCATTTATAGTGCCGTTTCTGGTCAACCTACACACTTTCTAAGAGTCACCCTTTTTTTCACCATTCTTTTGTTTACCAGAGATAGCGACACAAATATGAAAATAACGTATACACTGCCACCTGGTGTCGGATATGATTAAAATAACACCCACTATCCTTCTTACTACACAATTTCCTGCCCTGTAAGATTTTATTTAATGACTTTGATGAAAAAGGGCCAGTAGAGAGAACTGACAATGGTAAATATACATAGAGGAGGCCTGAGGAGTGTTGTAACACGGGGTGAGTCGTAACACCATAAATTAACTGTGGTGAATAAAATTCTCTAACCCGTTTGATATTGTTGATCATTTTAAATATCTTGGCACAAATATAGATCGTAAACTGAGTTTTGGGGATAGCACTAATTATATCTTTTTAAAAAATGCATGCAATGTCTGTTTCTAATATGGAGAATCAGTAGGTTTGGAGTGAATCAGAACCTACTGGAGATTGCTTACAAATCATTGGTTGAGAGTGTGCTGCTGACTTATAATTTAACCTCCTGGTATGGGCACCTTAATTGTAAGCAGAAAAATAACCTGGCAAGGGTCACTAAAAATCACTGGTAGACCACAGAGTAATTTAGGTGAGGTGTACACTTCAAGTTGTGTTAGGAAAGCAGAGTGTATTCTAAAAGACTCTACTGATCCTTTGTATGATCAGTTTGTTCTATTGTCCTCTGCGAGACAATTCTTAATGCCTAGAGCAAAGATAAATATTTATAAAAGATCCTTTGTACCTGCTGCAGTTGGATTTATTAATCAAAAGGCTATGCAATTTAGTATGGTGGTTTTAATCTGTGTTGTGTGTGGTATTTGTTTATATTCGGTATCACTGGTGTGGTCAAAGACAAATTTCAACCAAGGTTGATAATAAACTAAAGATGTATTGTATTGTACTGAACTACAGTACAGTGGTGAAATCACCATGACCACCATCTGCTGATAATGACAGAAGGTGCAACACCATTTTTACAACACAAAATAAATAAATAAAACAAAAAATGATATAGAAAATAAAGACAGAGAGCAGCCTATTTCACATCTGGTCATAGTTTGATAGTTTGATTAATTGTATGCAGGAGCAGATTTTCTTGTTCAGTTTAGTATAAATTATCCACAGCTTTTCATTTATGCAACATGTAAAAAAAAAACAAAAAAAAAAACTGAAATATAGTTGTGCAGACCGAGAGGGTTGTTAACACTTTACAATGTACTTCTGTACAGAGTTAAACCTCCACATAGGCCTACTGACTATTTTACATATTATTTAATGTAATTATTTTTGTTTAGATTTATTTGCTTGTTTTGGATTACGGTGCTACCTATATGCTGTTTACCACTTTGTATTAAAATGCTTAAAATTAAATGAGGGTGGGGTGGTAAAAAGGTGTTATTATCTTTTCTAACAGTGTTACAACTCGTCCTAAGGGCAGTGGTTTGTAACCACAACACTCTTTATACTTGACACTAATTTCTAGTTTATAGATAATGTGCACATTTTTAAGTAACTACTGTAATTTGTAGCAGACAAAACTAAAACTTCCAAAAATAAAATTATCCTATTGTTATCTGGTATTATATTATTATTCCAACTCACCCAAGCTGCATATATATATTTTTTTTTTTACCTTTATTTATATAGCGCTTTTAACAATACAGATTGTGTCAAAGCAACTGAACAGCATTAATTAGGAAAATAGTGTCAATAATGCAAAATGACAATAGTAAACACAAATTTTTCAGTTAAAGACAGTTCATCATTGAATTCAGTGATGTCAACATCCAGCTCAGTTTAAATAGTATCTTTGCAATCAAGTCAACGGTATCGCTGGAAATTAAGTGTCCCCAACTAAGCAAGCCAGAGGCGACAATATGTAATATTACATATTAAAATGTAATACAAAACAAACAATTAAAAACTATTAAGACTATTGAAATGGCTACGCCTTTTATGTGCCTTGTTTTTTTAATGGCAGCTCAAATTAATAGCCACTTGTAATTCCCCCAACAAACGCAACGCGTTGGAATTCCCATGGAAACTAATATAACTGACAATTAATTATGCGTGCAACGCATGCGCGCTCTGAGCCCTACGCATGCGCAGTCCCGCACGGTGTCTGGTTACTAGAGTGGATTTGGGAATTCCCCAGGAAAACACCTACGCAGCCACACGGCCTTTTCTGGACAAACTGGGCAACAGCAAGCCGCTCACAAGGGGAGCAATTTGTAGTTTTATAATGCTCCGGACATGGAGGGAATCTGAGGCTTGTGCGACAGCGCTTGCCGCTGTTGTTTGGGAATTTGTCCAGAAAGAGCTCATCTTGTTTCCATAAAAACACCAACAAGCGTCAGACGGAATCCACCTGGATAGAAGCGAAAACGGCGCAACAGATAGTTGTTTGTCAGGACAGGCAGTTTCTCTTGTTATAGCTGACATCATTTAAACGGCTGATTTATATATAAATGGAGGGGGCGCACGATATTCACGGTGAATCCCGGAGACAGAATGCACGGCCTGCACCGAGCTACGCTATGGAGAAAAGGGGCGCCGTGGACTCTGTCCCGGAGGACTGGTGTGACAGCGGGCTAGACTCCTTAAGCGGGGTCGGACTCGGTTTTGAGGGTCCCTACGGCACTTACACCGAAGCCGAACAGATGTGGACACCTGGACGGTCTGTGTCTGACATACCTGACATCCCTACGTCGGACGAGTCCGACAACAGGAGTACCACGGATTGCGTGTCGATTGGCGGCGGAGAGAGGCTGGACTCTGCCATCGGGGACTCGATTAATGACGATGCGGTGGTGGGGTGCCTCTCCGACGGGATCGGCACTATGATCCTGGGCGAGCCTGCAGGTACAGAGAGACTGGCGAATTCAAACACTTCGGATGAGGGTCGGCAGCGAAGGGAAGAGCTCTTCAACACGCTCAACTTTCTGTCAGAGGACGGTGACACGTACGTCTATGTAGTTTTCTATTACCTGTACTTTTGAACAGTTTGGAAGGCTATTGGATTTAGACTGTAAACATGTCCTCTTGTCTCTCAGGGTACTTCATTTGGCACTGATTCATGAGCAGTGGGGTGTTGTTCAGTGCCTGCTAGAAGAAATTGTGGTTAACAACAGCTGGACTCCTTACCTGGACACTCAAAATGACCTGGGCCAGGTAAATGCACACCAGTGTTGCCAGATCTCTCTAGAAAAACAAACAACCTGCTCTGACAAGCCAGCACCTGTGGATAAAAAAGAATAGCTTTACTTTCAGTGATTTACTGTTGCATACAACATCACATATCAAATAAGGCAATACATTTCATGGTGCTGTTGAAGTCACCATATCATTAAAATTCTTATTTTTTATGGAATATTGCATTGTTTATTATAAATAATTTATTGGTGCCTGTAATTTAAGTCCATGTGCACTAATAATCTAGTATTAAGTATTAATAATCTAATCTAAAAAAGTAACTGTATGCACATTTTTACCTTGAAATATTTGTTTCAAAATTGAAATATCAGTTCTGGTACACTGCCTTTTAATAAGGTGAAATGTTTCTGTTTCTTTTCCACGCTCCCTCCAAAAGTCTGTTCTGGGATTTTGGAGGTTTGGTGGGTTTTTATTACACAAAATTACTTTAGTGCTGCAACAAATGCATATGTACAGCTATCCACTGTAATTACGACAACTTAACTATAGGGGGCTCCAAACTTGCAAAAATATACAAAACTATATACTGTTGCTTTAAAGGGGTCATATGATGCTTTTTTAAAGATCATTATTTTGTGTATTTGGTGTAACAGAATATGTTGACATCTTGAAATCGCATCATATGACCCCTTTAATGAAAAACATTGATTTTAACATTCACCTCCCCTCCAGCAACCTGTCACTCACATGACATCACAGCAATTAGCAAATGATTAATGGTGCGTTCAAGTCGTGTCGGATAGATCGTATTTACGAGTTGAACGCACATGAACGCCACCACAAAGTCGTTAT